CTATTGCTATTGCTATTGCTATCTATCTATCATCTATCTATCTATCATCTATCTATCTATCTATCTATCTATCTATCTATCTATCTATCTATCTATTTATCTATCGTATTGTTGGGGGCAATATGCTGACTCTGTAAACTGCTTAGAGAGGGCTGAAAGCCCTATGAAGCGGTATAGAAGTCTAACTGCTATTGCTATTGCAAGAAAACCAGAAAGCTCAGAGAGCACCAAGGAGTCTCCAGTTTTCCTCTTCCTCCTCCTCCTCCTCCTCCTCTTAGCACTGATACCTAGTTGGGTAATGAATGAATGCCTGGAAGAAAACCACCGAGCTCAGAGAGCACCAAGGATCTCACAATTGTCCTCCTCCTTTCTACAAACCCCACTCCCTTGTAGCACTGATGATGTTACCTAGTTGGGTAACGAAATGACTGCAAGAGAGCCAGCAAGCTCAGAGGGCACCAAGGACCCCAGTCTTCCTCTTCCTCCTCTTAGCACTGATGATGTTACCTAGTTTGGCAATGAAACGTCTGCAAAAAACCTCAACCCAGCCCAGAAAGCACCAAGGACCCCTCATTTTTCAACCCCAGCTACAAATATTCTCCTTTATAGTCTTAAAAGGACAATTGGTTTTTTCTGTGTCTCCCGTTGGGGGAAATAAAGGAGGTTTTTGGGAGAGCAGAACAGCAGGAGGAAAAGTGCCAAAGGGGTTAATCCTGTATTGTTAACAGGGTCTTCAAAGGGTTTGATCTCCCACAGGGACAATCATTAAACTGGTTTATGAACAGTCCTCCTTAAATCCATCTTCGCTGCTGCTGGGATAGAAGGCTGAAAATTCAGGCATGAAGCGTAATTCAAGCCCCCTCCCTGCAAACTCTCCACCTCCCCATCCAGTCCAATCCACAACCATCTGCTCGGTCTGCCTCTCCATGGCATGAAGCTGCCAGTCCACAGAGGGTCTCCACGCCCATTGACGCCCATTGATTCTCAACCGCAGACCCCGGGCACAGTCACTACACAGGGTTTACACAGGAAGACGTTACGTTTTCCCATTTTCCCACGACTGGGTGGGGTTGCCCCTAAACCCCCCACAATAGGAGAGGGGAAGAGCTGCCGGGTTCCTAGTCCGGAATGAGGAAGAGAGGGAGGGAAGGAGAGAAGGAAGGAGAGAGGGAGGAAGGAGGGAGGGAAGGAGGGAGAGAGGGAGGGAAGGAGTGAGAGAGGAAGGGAAGGAGAGAAGGAAGGGAGGGAAGGAAGGAGAGAGGGAGGAAGGAGGGAGGGAATGAGGAAGAGAGGGAGGGAAGGAGTGAGAGAGGAAGGGAAGGAGAAAAGGAAGGGAGGGAAGGAGGAAGAGAGAGAGGGAGGAAGAGAGGGAGGGAGGAAGAGAGGGAGGGAATGAGGGAGAGAGGAAAGGAAGGAGAGAAGGAAGGGAGGGAGGGAAGGAGGGAGGAAGAGAGGGAGGAAGGAAAAGTCAGAAAATGGAAGAGGGGAAGGGAGAAAAAGACAGACACCCTTTCAACAATGCCAGAAGAGGGGGGGTTGGAGGGGGATTTAAGGACTGTGGCAAGGAAGAAGAGATTGATAGGCCACTTGTCTGAAATGGTCTAGGGTGGAGGTTCCCAATGTGGGGCTCAGGCCCCACAGGGGGGGGGCGATTTGATTTTTAATGGGGGCCATTTGAACCTTATTTAAACCAAGTTAATGGCCTTTTAGGCTTCCTCCTAGAGTTCACTTTTTGAGTAAAGTAAGAATTAGATATGGGGGGGGGGGCAGGATTTTAGAGATGCTTAGGTCAAAAGAAAAAGCAAGGGTTGGACTAGAAGACCTCTGAGGTTATTCCCAACTCTATTCTGATTGTATTGATTGACGTCCGGTGCCAAAGGAAAGGCAACTGCAGATATCAATGGAAATTCTCAGTTATGCAACTCACGGCGTCCCAAAGGTGCTTTTTTTTCAAAAGACTCCTGGAGTTTGTTTTTCCTTCAAAGCATTTCGCTTCTCATCCAAAACCTCCAAGCGGCCTCAACGACTCTCAGAAAGAGAGTTTCTTTTTTTTTTTTATTTTTTTTTATTTTATCAATTTCATATATACATTC